GCCTGCCATTAATGTTCATTGCAGTGTTCCATCCCACCTTCCACCAGAAGTAAAGATTGAATGGGCTTGAAGTTGACGACTGCATCAGTGGTCACATCTTTCATGGAAACACTTTGAAAAGCCAAGGTCAAGCACATCTACAGCTTTAAACAGTTTCCACGACGTATCTAGCAATGGATTTTCAAACCCAAGGAAACCGAACACTGCAACGAATAATAATGTTATGGTTCATATGGAGTTAATGACAAATATGTGTAATAAACATTGTATCGACATTGGGAATGTGGTGCATTAGAGCTAGAATAAAGCTCATTCCATTCGTCAACATCTGTGAATAGAATAGTATGCTTTTTCTAAATGCTTATATGATTGGGCACAAACTACCGAGTGATCCTTACTAATGGGAATCATTAATCTCGGTAGTAAAAAAAGATACACGAATCACACTGTAATAAAAAATATCAATGTCACCTTACTTTTCCAAGTCTCGTCCAAGATAACTTGAAATTGTATTAGCTGCAAACTGATTTCATTAAAAAATATATATTAATTGATTGTTTTGTTCTCAATGCAAAACCCAGTACATAGTCGATTGGATTATTTATTAACAGGAAATGAGAAAAGGAAAATGTTCTCTAAAATATAGAACTGCGACATGGTAATTTAATTTAGAAACATTGATCATTTCTCATTTGTTCTCAGTGTGTGACACTCATTGTGTTGTTAAGAGATAGTGATGTTTTTTTGCCAGATGATATATTTACTGCGAGCCATAATGCAATCCCTATTTTAACGAATTCACCTCAATCTATTATAACATAGATATCAATGTAATAACTCTTTCCATTTAGAGAATGTAAAAACATTTTTGGCAAATTTTCATAGGTAATTACGTTAATGTACTACATCAGTATGTTGCTTTTGTTATTTACCCCAAGAAAGGAAGATTTTAATCAGTGAATGGATCTGAAATATTTTATATTAATAAACAAAAGTTGAAACATTCACAAAGAAGCATGCAGAGGTGCATGTCTGGAATTGCATTGGGGGACAGAAAGAGGAACACATGGGTTAGAGGACCAACGCAAGATGGAGATGTCATTTTAACAGGAAGCTTTCGCGACCAATATTATTCATAATAGAGATTTTGGGTTATGTGTCGTTAAACCCGCTACCAACCGACACGGCCAAAAACGTCAGGATGTACAGGCATGGTGTGCATGCATAATGTAGTTTGATTACCCTATGAATAACCCAACCGGTAATGGTTATCTATTGTAATTTATATACATACATTACCCCCCCCCCCCCTCTGGCATTCGCACCTGTGTGGCTAACAAGTGACGACATCTCATTTTTGCCCTCTATTTAAAACCGAAGCAAGAGGATTTCTCCACAACTCTGGCTGTCCGCTTGACGATGCTATATGTAACTAGCAGAAGTACCCGGCGTTGCCCGGGTGAAAAATATATTTCTTAATAATCTTACATATATACACAGATTTCATTGTTATGTAATGTTTGAAAGTTTACAGAAGATTTTAAATGTATTTTCCCCCCGGGCAACGCTGGGTATATCGAGTTTATACCACAAAGTCGTCGCTTGACACGGGTGGGGTGTCGAGGCCTAGTACCGTGCAGAGCCTCCGGCCTCGCCTAGATTGCCCACCCGGCTGAGGCTGGGTACCGGGGCCGTTACCCCCCCCCCCCCCCCACGCTACAATAATACTGTCTAATCGCTATAATTTTATAATCTACCGACCCTATAATAGTAATTGCACACATTGTGGTGGGGGGGGAGTGAAGAGGACGTGAAACTTTGATGAATTTACCTCAGAGTCGCGTGTTAATGCGTACGCATATTTTTAACGGGAATTAAAAATGGCGTCCACCCCGCAGCGAATGCGTCGCTACCCGTTGCCAGGGGCAACCGCCGTGGAAAACCAAACAGACCAATCGTGTCTCGCAAATCCCTCACATTTCGTCCAATGAAACTGCGTATGGTCCGGCGACACACACACACACACACAGACAGACAGACAGACCGACAGACAGACAGATTTGTGATTTTATTTATATATATAGATTACCGGCGACACATCATACTCGAATTATAAATGTCGTGGGTTTACTCTCTAACACACAACCGGTGTGCTGAACTTATAACGAATTGGCACGTTTTGTTTATGTGACAAACCTTACTAATTGGCGGGTGGTGACGGGGTTTAACGAGACATGTATATTCACGGGATTTAACCCCCCAAAAAAACCTCTCTTATGGACACATCATATTGACTGTGAAGAAAAGTATTGGGCTTGGGTTTGTATGAGATGATTTCTTTAGGTCAAGAATAATGTTGGAGTGGCAACCAAAGGAAGGAGTGGCAGCCAGAGAGAGAACGTCCACAACAGAGCTGGAGCAATAGGGTCAGCTTTGTGCATGTGGGTGGTAGATGGATATTTTTGCGTTACATTTTTGCGTTACATTACTGAGACGGCAAAAGCTTGGGGAGGCCTTGGATGAATCACGATTGATGATGATAATGATCGTGATGATATATGCTACACTACTCAACAACTATACTCTTTGTTTTTTTCGGTAAAGTCACGTAGGTAAAAAAAAAAATGAAAACAACTTAATTAAATCACGACGTTTTGGGCGCAACACAAGCGTCCGTCTTCAGGTGGGGACAACGTAGCGAAAGCACAACCGCTTAAGTGTGTCTAAGAGATGGCTGTGACAAGGAATTATATAGTTGCGGGGGAAGGAGGGGGGGAGGGGGCATGGTGAGTGTGGGGGCGGGGTGTAAGCTGGGAGGTAACCTGGAGTTCAAACTGAAGCTTTGTGATGCAGGGGGCAGAAGTAGATAAGAAAGATAAGTCAAGCCGAGTATGGGGGCGGGTGTGGGCTGGGAGGTAATGCATGGAGTTCAAACTGAAACTGAAGCTCTCAACAACTCTTAGACTGTTGAATTCTACCCATTGTAAATGTGAATAAACCCACACAGGAAAGCCATCTGTATGGACACAACTCATGAGTAATCCTGCAGATCTCCCATTTGACAGGAAGCCACTTTCGTAAATGCCTGGTGCTCAATCTTACGTACAATATCCGAGCGGCTGAACGTCTCGTACCGACCCACTACAACGGAACAGTTGACTTTGAGAAAGAACCCAAGCCAAAATCCCAATGAGTGTGCGGGTTGTTGGCTGCCCTTGTGTTTCTGAAGTGTTTATTAAAATATTCATACAACTCATTATAATCTCTCCTCACTCACCACTAAATGATCCCATGACACTCTTTGTTTAATTGCATATTCTAATTTTCTGATTATTTAGCGATCTGCCATTTGAGATGGATCCACTTAGGACTCCAAATGTAAACATCGTTTAAAGCAAGAAGGCAAGCCCATGCTGTCCATCACTCATACAGTTATACGGTATACACTCATCCATAACGATTGATTTCAAAGTAGAATAAAACATGTATATAAAACGATGTTTTAATTTCTGGCATTAAATCTAGAAACTTAAACATTATAAAAGTTGCAATTTGTAACAATGTGATATTACGTAAATAATCTGAAATATGAACACTTCCATTAGTTGATGCACACTACAGTTACTTTTGAAAATGCGTGCAATTCGTCTTCTGCAAGGCTCAAGTCTCGTCGCTCATCTCGACTTCATGAAGAACTACCTTTAGAGATTTCCACAGGGAAAAGGTCTGGCTCTTCACAGTGCCAACCATTAATCAAACTCCAGAAAGAGGCGAGTGCTCTCTCGTGGAGAAATCCCCCAGAGATTGCCTCAACTTTGGTTCCGTAGTCGTAGCAACATTACACGGCTCATGCATGGGAGGAGAGGCAATATCGCGTCGCCTCCGTCCATTTATTTATACCTAATACATCTCTTTCAATGGACTTCATCATTCACGGCTTATGGGAGCATCGAAAGCAATCTGGAAGGCGGTTGTGTATTTGCTTGTGAACGGAGGTTATCCCACATCTATTGTATACAACATCGCTATCTGGGTTTTTCTAAACAGAAACACATACCGACAATTGCATGAAGGCCATTTATACGTGTGCTCTGCAAAAGGTAATGTGAGTGACTGGAGCAATCTGTGCAGCATTCTTTTGAAATGTGTGCTCCCCAGCAATGTGGGCCACGGTAGCAATCTGTGCAGTCTTATTGCAATACACGTAATATGATAACATAAAAAATGCATGCTGTAATTTTGAAGAATGAATAACCACACTCTATATTATTACGGGAGAAATACTGGCCCTAAATAATAAATTCTACTTTCAGTTTTGGCATTTTTAAAAAGGTGAAAAGTTAGAAGGCAATTACACTGCTGCAGCAATCGGACCACGCTCCATAGCACTGGTTTTGGTTTTCTGATTTGAAATATAAACTCTTTACCTCTTTAGACATCACAAACACAATTGCTTTATAGCCAGCGAGCAAACAAACCCCTAATTTACATGCTACATTGTTCATATTTTCATAAGGAGAAGGCATTGATGTGCAACATATGAGCCACTGTTTATATATATATAAAAATTGATATACTACCAAAGTTTATTAAATCTCAAATCTGAACCCTTGCCCTCCCAAGAAAATAAAAAGCTATTGTTATTATCAGGGATTCATTTCTCACCCAATATTTTGTGGTAAGCAGCTGGGCTGATATGCAGTCGGGCTTAACAGCATAAGGCACCACCACTAGAGCACAAGGTACACCTATAATCCATGCTATTGCAGCCTTTACTGTATTCCTATAATCTGATGAACAGCTGTAGGACCGAATAAGGCGAAATTGATGTCGCTTGGTGCTAAAATAATTCCCGAACACCATTCCGGACTGTTCCAGCTGAAATAAAGTACCGGCTATGACTGTAATGCATTGGAGCATCGCAGTGACATATTTTGTTCAGAGTGTCGCATGTGTTGACTGTTTCGCTGTTTTTCACTCCGGCTATATCTCGCCTGCAGGTACACCAAGATGAAAACCGCCACCAACATTTATATCTTCAACCTGGCTCTGGCCGACACGCTGGCCACCAGCACCCTGCCCTTCCAGATTGTCAACTACTTCATGAGCACATGGCCCTTCGGTCGCGTCCTCTGCAAGCTCATCATCTCCATCGACTATTATAACATGTTCACGAGCATCTTCACGCTCACCATGATGAGCATCGACCGATACATCGCCGTCTGCCACCCGGTGAGGGCCCTGGACTTCCGAACGCCCGTCAAGGCCAAGCTCGTTAATATCTGCATCTGGTCGCTGTCGTCTGCCATCGGCCTGCCCGTCATGATCATTGCGGTGACCAAGCAGGATAAGAATGGTGCGCAACTCCTTTTGCTTTCATTGTTTTTGTGGGTTCACATCCCTGCATCTATATAATCATAATAATATTCAGCTCGTGTGTATGTTTGTCTTGGGAACATCACCTTGACCGCGCCACCAATTGCAATGAATGGGCTGTAATTTTTGTAACCTCATTAAATACCATTCATACAGCACTTTACCCACCAATTAAGCAAGGTTGACTTATTGACTCTGGCGATGTTGATATGATCTACCATTTGCAATATCCCAGCATCTAACTCCAGGTGTGTTGCAACATCATTCAATAGATAAGCTTGCACCACTGGTGGATAAGCCCACATTTATTCCATTAGTGGCTGCAGACATAAAATATACAAATTCTTCCGCATACGATTGGACGCATTAGCGCATTGTGAGCTTAAGCACCTACTCTTAGGTTTTTTCGGTAAAGTCACGTAGGTAAAAAATTACGTAGGTAAAAAATACAATTAATAAAAGTAATAATAGAAAGTAATAATAGAAATAAAATAATTATTTTATATTATTTCTATGATTATTTTATTTTATTTCTATTATTACTTTTATTAATTTTAATTTTTACTTACGTGACTTTACCGAAAAAACCTAAGAGTATGAATCCTTGCAGTCACGAAAGCTTCAAATCTAGCTTAAGCACCTCTCAGAGAGGACACACACTTGCGTCGCTGATGAACCGCCCGTATTTCCCGTGCCGCAGGCAACGTGGACTGCACGCTGGAGTTCCCCAGGCCGACGATCTACTGGGACAACATGCTGAAGACGTGCGTGTTCGTGTTCGCCTTCTTCATCCCCGTGTGCGTCATCACCGTCTGCTATGGCCTCATGATCACGCGCCTGCGCAGCGTGCGAGTGCTCTCGGGCTCCAAGGAGAAGGACCGCACCATGCGGCGCATCACACGCATGGTGCTCGTCGTGGTGGCCGCCTTCGTGGTGTGCTGGACACCTATCCACCTGTACGTCATCGTCCGCGCCATCGTGCGCATCCCCGAGAGCGCCGTCGTGACGGTCAGCTGGCACGTGTGCATCGCCCTCGGCTACGTCAACAGCAGCATGAACCCATTCCTCTACGCCTTTCTCGACGAGAACTTCAAGCGCTGCTTCCGAGAATTCTGCTTCCGCCGCAACTTTCGACTGGACCTACCCAGCACGAGTCGCGTGCGCAGCATCGCCCGCGAGGCCTCCTCCATGAACAACCTGGATGGCAGCAATGACAACTCCTGACTAGGCGTGGAGATGCGGGGACACCGGACACGTCCCCTAAGGGGAGATGACACCGATGTCACGCAAGTAACCAGCGCCTTCTGAGCTCTAGTGAGCGTTCGACTGCTCCTTACTATTAAAATTCTTTCCCTTTATTACTGCTAACCCTACTTCCTCCCTTTGTTGCTGTTAATCCTACATAATGCACGGGTATAATATGACTTTGAGACCGACCCCCCCCCACCTCCTACACATTCCACAAGTAGTGACTAATCCCATATCTGCATTTTCCATAAATATGCTAAATTCATCTGTTGATATGTAAATTCCTTTGTCAAGGCGCCCTTCCTCCTCTAATCCAGCTTAAATATACGCTGCCAAGTTTGGTGGTGTTTATTCAGACGCTGTCTTTCCGACAGACCTGTTCTTCACCTGAGGACGGCTGCTTGCGTTGTGCCCGAAACGTCGTGAGAATTGTATTTTATGATGTTTTATTTTTATTATTTTATTATTTCCCTTCTACGTGACTTTACCTAAAGAACCAAGAAGATGCTCGTAGAGCGTTTATTCCTTTTCGGTTGTAAAGCAGGTGGCTTTGTGGTGAGTTTGACGCGCCGGTGTGGTTTGGTTTTTATTTCTTACGGAAGATCGAGGACCGCATGTTGTGGTGCCCTGATTTGTTTGGCAAACTCTCCACGCCGATCATGGGAGTGATTGTGTGTAAGCGATGTGCAAATCAGCAAAGTTTCACGTAAACTAGAGTAGGTGTTTATCGTTGGAAATTGTATACAATTGTAATAGACAGCATTGTATAAAGGTAATGGGGTGATATTATTATGAGCTGCATATAACCAATGGGGTTTATTTTTCAATTGTGTTTGCCAGAAATACGCAGGGGGGTCACGTTATTCTTAGAGCGGGCTATGAAGTGCGCACAAAAATACATTTACATACTGAACTTTCGAATACCATGGCCATTGATATCAAAGTATGTATTCAATATGTCCTTCCCCTGCACCTCCGATGAGCTTGGTTTGCTACGTACGGTGCGAAAGAAGTTCAACATACATATTTAAGTGAGGATTAAGCTTCCCTATATACAAAATAGTGGTGCAATTTTTTCGTCAAATCTATTTCACCACCCTTGATTAAGTTCACTACTGTATCATTCTGCTAACACAGGGTATTGCCAAGGACGTTTGGAGCAACATTACAAACCAAAGAAATAAAATATGACCATTTTATTCTCAAATACAAACACCTGAAGCACTTATTCTGCAAACAAGAGGCCTTTGTATGTTGAAGGGCAAATATTTTAAACTTTATGTGGCTGTAATCCTCACTTCAAAATTAAACGGTAAGTGAAAACAGGAATGGGTTCGTAATATATGGCACATTTTAGTACAAAAATTATTGTTATGAATGAAATAAGGTTGAAAGAATACCGGATGAAAAATCAAGACGGAAAATACAATATATCAAATACAAAAACGGAAATGTGCAAATGTAAATTTTCCCACAATGTATCATTGAAAAATATATATTGCGACTTGTATTTGAAACCTAGAAATACACGGTGTTTCCTTGAACTTGAAAGCAATCGGGTCTGTTTGCATCGTGCACTGTAATGCAGATGAACTATAAATGCATAACGCGTCCAAACTCGTTAGTCGTTATGAGGAGTTTCATTCTGCTCAATAAAAAGTGTACACAAGGGCTTAGGGGCTGCAAATGTGCAGCCTCTTTACTTTGGGAGTGTTCTATTTCTGCAAAGGTTGGGTGGGGGAGTTAACTCGTGACACAACAGACCCCCAAACCCGAGCTGCACTAATGGGACGCTCCCAAACAAGCGATGTCCTTAGGCTGTTTTACATCATGACCGATTTACACGGAACGCCACTTGTGTTGTATCCCATGCTACGCTCGAGCAACCTGGGGTAGTTTGTAGGCATTTTCCCATCAGGAGTTGTGTCTAAATCCAATAATAATGCAGTCAACAACATCTGTACATCACAGATGTATGCGTGAGAAATACGATGTACATGTGCACATTATAGCGCCGTCAAAAGGATTTTAAAAGCACGATTTTACGGTGACCACTAATGTTAGTGACCACAAAGCCGAGTTGAAGCTTTCTTTGAGCTTCCTGTGTAAATGATTCATGCCCTGCAATGCAGATTACATTATTTAGTGGGACGACTGCATAATGTTTACAGACGTATCAGTCACTGCTCTACATTGTCTGACATTATTGTGAGAGATATTGGTTTCAAATTATCATAACAGAGCATAACAGTTCAGTTAACGTGACTTTTTTTGTCGTCTCATTATTAAAACATGTGGACATCTGCTGTTATCCAGTTGGTATCTCCGAGGAACATTCTGCACATTCCCTTGGGAATAATGCGAAAAAAGTAAGTGAAGTGACACAACCGTCTGGGAAATTGTTGTTCAAACATGACTTTCGTGACAGAGCCCTCTTAAATTTCGATTTAAAGCTTTCGTGACTGCAGGGATTCATCTTCTTGGTTCTTTCGGTAAAGTCACGTAGACGCTGTCTTTCCGACAGACCTGTTCTTCACCTGAGGACGGCTGCTTGCGTTGTGGCCGAAACGTCGTGAGAATTGTATTTTATTATGTTTTATTTGTATTATTTCCCTTCTACGTGACTTTACCGAAAGAACCAAGAAGAAGAGCCCTCTTATTTAAAGTTCCACACTATGTTTGGAAGTCGCACATGTACATTTCCCAAACTATATTAACGGAAGAATGCGGATTGCAGATTAAATTGATTTAAAAAAACACTCTCATGATTTGTTGAAAATTGCTGCGGTATTTATCTTGTTTAAGACATGACAGCTCAATGATGTTTCTTCTAATCAGCCTAAGGACATTGCTATTTTGAAGTATTTGTTGTTCAATATGTATGTAATAGTTACAGATGTATTTTTGCTGCAATGTCAACAAGCATTGCAATTATCTGTCTAGCATATAGTGGTCTGTTTACAACTTGTATTCGTAAGCCATGTTTCCATTCAAATGATATTATACATTTCAACATGTGGATATATATATTATGAATGATCTGAGAGTGCCCAATATTGTGGTTGCTTCAAACAGCAGCAATTTTTGTTTCATGGGCCACACGTGATGATCTGATGAAATGTACAGCAGTCCCCAGTGACATCCAGATAATTTAATGTGGATGTGCATTCATATCTTAGTCAAAAGAAAAGCCTAGCAAATGCTAGAATTATTCCCATGCATTAAATATGTTTGGTTAAAAAAAATAAAGATTATACGACAATGCATACTGAGTATTTAGGTGAAATAAAGACCCTTCATGCTTAATTGAAATCATTTTCACTATGGGGACCTCATTTGCCAGTAAAAATATGATAATTGGTTTTTTACCCTTATATCTGGCAACAAAACTGACACCTTTTTGCAAGGAGTCATGTTTGCATAGACCGCAATACCTGCAGTCATAATACAAACAAAAGAACATAACTCTGATAATGTGCACTGTCCTTGAAGTTGATTGGTCCACACCCGAGACAGCTTTCCTTCGAGCCTAGTCTCATATGGGTTGGACCAGATGACGCCAAAAGGCGCACAACTCAAGGACAATGCACCATCAGAGTATGAGAGCTCGGGGCAAGCATCTACACTATGGGGACCTCATTTGCCAGTAAAAATATGATAATTGGTTTTTTACCCTTATATCTGGCAACAAAACTGACACCTTTTTGCAAGGAGTCATGTTTGCATAGACCGCAATACCTGCAGTCATAATACAAACAAAAGAACATAACTCTGATAATGTGCACTGTCCTTGAAGTTGATTGGTCCACACCCGAGACAGCTTTCCTTCGAGCCTAGTCTCATATGGGTTGGACCAGATGACGCCAAAAGGCGCACAACTCAAGGACAATGCACCATCAGAGTATGAGAGCTCGGGGCAAGCATCTACACTATGGGGACCTCATTTGCCAGTAAAAATATGATAATTGGTTTTTTACCCTTATATCTGGCAACAAAACTGACACCTTTTTGCAAGGAGTCATGTTTGCATAGACCGCAATACCTGCAGTCATAATACAAACAAAAGAACATAACTCTGATAATGTGCACTGTCCTTGAAGTTGATTGGTCCACACCCGAGACAGCTTTCCTTCGAGCCTAGTCTCATATGGGTTGGACCAGATGACGCCAAAAGGCGCACAACTCAAGGACAATGCACCATCAGAGTATGAGAGCTCGGGGCAAGCATCTACACTATGGGGACCTCATTTGCCAGTAAAAATATGATAATTGGTTTTTTACCCTTATATCTGGCAACAAAACTGACACCTTTTTGCAAGGAGTCATGTTTGCATAGACCGCAATACCTGCAGTCATAATACAAACAAAAGAACATAACTCTGATAATGTGCACTGTCCTTGAAGTTGATTGGTCCACACCCGAGACAGCTTTCCTTCGAGCCTAGTCTCATATGGGTTGGACCAGATGACGCCAAAAGGCGCACAACTCAAGGACAATGCACCATCAGAGTATGAGAGCTCGGGGCAAGCATCTACACTATGGGGACCTCATTTGCCAGTAAAAATATGATAATTGGTTTTTTACCCTTATATCTGGCAACAAAACTGACACCTTTTTGCAAGGAGTCATGTTTGCATAGACCGCAATACCTGCAGTCATAATACAAACAAAAGAACATAACTCTGATAATGTGCACTGTCCTTGAAGTTGATTGGTCCACACCCGAGACAGCTTTCCTTCGAGCCTAGTCTCATATGGGTTGGACCAGATGACGCCAAAAGGCGCACAACTCAAGGACAATGCACCATCAGAGTATGAGAGCTCGGGGCAAGCATCTACACTATGGGGACCTCATTTGCCAGTAAAAATATGATAATTGGTTTTTTACCCTTATATCTGGCAACAAAACTGACACCTTTTTGCAAGGAGTCATGTTTGCATAGACCGCAATACCTGCAGTCATAATACAAACAAAAGAACATAACTCTGATAATGTGCACTGTCCTTGAAGTTGATTGGTCCACACCCGAGACAGCTTTCCTTCGAGCCTAGTCTCATATGGGTTGGACCAGATGACGCCAAAAGGCGCACAACTCAAGGACAATGCACCATCAGAGTATGAGAGCTCGGGGCAAGCATCTACACTATGGGGACCTCATTTGCCAGTAAAAATATGATAATTGGTTTTTTACCCTTATATCTGGCAACAAAACTGACACCTTTTTGCAAGGAGTCATGTTTGCATAGACCGCAATACCTGCAGTCATAATACAAACAAAAGAACATAACTCTGATAATGTGCACTGTCCTTGAAGTTGATTGGTCCACACCCGAGACAGCTTTCCTTCGAGCCTAGTCTCATATGGGTTGGACCAGATGACGCCAAAAGGCGCACAACTCAAGGACAATGCACCATCAGAGTATGAGAGCTCGGGGCAAGCATCTACACTATGGGGACCTCATTTGCCAGTAAAAATATGATAATTGGTTTTTTACCCTTATATCTGGCAACAAAACTGACACCTTTTTGCAAGGAGTCATGTTTGCATAGACCGCAATACCTGCAGTCATAATACAAACAAAAGAACATAACTCTGATAATGTGCACTGTCCTTGAAGTTGATTGGTCCACACCCGAGACAGCTTTCCTTCGAGCCTAGTCTCATATGGGTTGGACCAGATGACGCCAAAAGGCGCACAACTCAAGGACAATGCACCATCAGAGTATGAGAGCTCGGGGCAAGCATCTACACTATGGGGACCTCATTTGCCAGTAAAAATATGATAATTGGTTTTTTACCCTTATATCTGGCAACAAAACTGACACCTTTTTGCAAGGAGTCATGTTTGCATAGACCGCAATACCTGCAGTCATAATACAAACAAAAGAACATAACTCTGATAATGTGCACTGTCCTTGAAGTTGATTGGTCCACACCCGAGACAGCTTTCCTTCGAGCCTAGTCTCATATGGGTTGGACCAGATGACGCCAAAAGGCGCACAACTCAAGGACAATGCACCATCAGAGTATGAGAGCTCGGGGCAAGCATCTACACTATGGGGACCTCATTTGCCAGTAAAAATATGATAATTGGTTTTTTACCCTTATATCTGGCAACAAAACTGACACCTTTTTGCAAGGAGTCATGTTTGCATAGACCGCAATACCTGCAGTCATAATACAAACAAAAGAACATAACTCTGATAATGTGCACTGTCCTTGAAGTTGATTGGTCCACACCCGAGACAGCTTTCCTTCGAGCCTAGTCTCATATGGGTTGGACCAGATGACGCCAAAAGGCGCACAACTCAAGGACAATGCACCATCAGAGTATGAGAGCTCGGGGCAAGCATCTACACTATGGGGACCTCATTTGCCAGTAAAAATATGATAATTGGTTTTTTACCCTTATATCTGGCAACAAAACTGACACCTTTTTGCAAGGAGTCATGTTTGCATAGACCGCAATACCTGCAGTCATAATACAAACAAAAGAACATAACTCTGATAATGTGCACTGTCCTTGAAGTTGATTGGTCCACACCCGAGACAGCTTTCCTTCGAGCCTAGTCTCATATGGGTTGGACCAGATGACGCCAAAAGGCGCACAACTCAAGGACAATGCACCATCAGAGTATGAGAGCTCGGGGCAAGCATCTACACTATGGGGACCTCATTTGTCAGTAAAAATATGATAATTGGTTTTTTACCCTTATATCTGGCAACAAAACTGACACCTTTTTGCAAGGAGTCATGTTTGCATAGACCGCAATACCTGCAGTCATAATACAAACAAAAGAACATAACTCTGATAATGTGCACTGTCCTTGAAGTTGATTGGTCCACACCCGAGACAGCTTTCCTTCGAGCCTAGTCTCATATGGGTTGGACCAGATGACGCCAAAAGGCGCACAACTCAAGGACAATGCACCATCAGAGTATGAGAGCTCGGGGCAAGCATCTACACTATGGGGACCTCATTTGCCAGTAAAAATATGATAATTGGTTTTTTACCCTTATATCTGGAAACAAAACTGACACCTTTTTGCAAGGAGTCATGTTTGCATAGACCGCAATACCTGCAGTCATAATACAAACAAAAGAACATAACTCTGATAATGTGCACTGTCCTTGAAGTTGATTGGTCCACACCCGAGACAGCTTTCCTTCGAGCCTAGTCTCATATGGGTTGGACCAGATGACGCCAAAAGGCGCACATTATCAGAGTTATGTTCTTTTGTTTGTATTATGACTGCAGGTATTGCGGTCTATGCAAACATGACTCCTTGCAAAAAGGTGTCAGTTTTGTTGCCAGATATAAGGGTAAAAAACCAATTATCATATTTTTACTGGCAAATGAGGTCCCCATAGTGTAGATGCTTGCCCCGAGCTCTCATACTCTGATGGTGCATTGTCCTTGAGTTGTGCGCCTTTTGGCGTCATCTGGTCCAACCCATATGAGACTAGGCTCGAAGGAAAGCTGTCTCGGGTGTGGACCAATCAACTTCAAGGACAGTGCACATTATCAGAGTTATGTTCTTTTGTTTGTATTATGACTGCAGGTATTGCGGTCTATGCAAACATGACTCCTTGCAAAAAGGTGTCAGTTTTGTTGCCAGATATAAGGGTAAAAAACCAATTATCATATTTTTACTGGCAAATGAGGTCCCCATAGTGTAGATGCTTGCCCCGAGCTCTCATACTCTGATGGTGCATTGTCCTTGAGTTGTGCGCCTTTTGGCGTCATCTGGTCCAACCCATATGAGACTAGGCTCGAAGGAAAGCTGTCTCGGGTGTGGACCAATCAACTTCAAGGACAGTGCACATTATCAGAGTTATGTTCTTTTGTTTGTATTATGACTGCAGGTATTGCGGTCTATGCAAACATGACTCCTTGCAAAAAGGTGTCAGTTTTGTTGCCAGATATAAGGGTAAAAAACCAATTATCATATTTTTACTGGCAAATGAGGTCCCCATAGTGTAGATGCTTGCCCCGAGCTCTCATACTCTGATGGTGCATTGTCCTTGAGTTGTGCGCCTTTTGGCGTCATCTGGTCCAACCCATATGAGACTAGGCTCGAAGGAAAGCTGTCTCGGGTGTGGACCAATCAACTTCAAGGACAGTGCACATTATCAGAGTTATGTTCTTTTGTTTGTATTATGACTGCAGGTATTGCGGTCTATGCAAACATGACTCCTTGCAAAAAGGTGTCAGTTTTGTTGCCAGATATAAGGGTAAAAAACCAATTATCATATTTTTACTGGCAAATGAGGTCCCCATAGTGTAGATGCTTGCCCCGAGCTCTCATACTCTGA